TCTGCTGATTTCCTCCACAAACCTCAGTTTTTGACTCTTTTGTACCAAGGGAGGTATTTGTGCCATGATGCTGTGGTGTTCTGTGGCTGTGCTGAGACATGCGAGACAAGCACTTTTCAGTGTCCCAGTTACAACTTGGGTATTTAAGGGTTTGGCATTAAGGAATTGGGGCATCTCGGAAGTACAGTCTTCCACCTTCCTCTTTCCCAGCCATACCTATTAATAATAAGTACTAACACTATATCCCATGAGAACTGGAAATTGGGTATCCATTTTACTCTAAGTAGATATTTATAAATACTAGAATAATTTCATCCACTTCACTATAACAAATATTCATTGTTATAGTTAGCAAAGTCCTGCAGTTTGCTCTTGTGTGATTTCTCCTTTCCTGGGCCTGAGTATTTTTAAGCATAAGCTTTTGGGTTGATTTTTTTGCATGTGTGTGTACACTATGGGTCAAGTATATCCAGTATTAAGTGCTACAAGCATCATCCTGGCCCTGAATTACTTCTGCTTACTTCAGTGATTTATTTGCCATCTCAAGGGTTCATTATAGATCTTGCAATGACTTTTGAATTCTTGTTTGTTTTTGAATGCCAAAGAGGGGAGTCTGGTAAATTATAGCTTCCAAGATTAAATTTTAGATTTTGGAAAGACTTACATGGACCTTCTGAAGCATCTCCACTCCAGCGTCATACTTCTCCTTCACCTGGGTCACGTACAAGAGTTCCTCAAGTGACCACTGATTCCCAGTTCTCTCTGTTGCTGGAATTCAGTATGTGCAGGTGCTGCATATGACATTTTGGTCTGAACTTCTGTCGTCATCTTCCACAGTGAGAATCTGGTGTGTGACAGATAATATGGCAGAGTAACCCACAGAACTAAGAAAACAGGTGTTTAGATCTCCAGCTTCTTTCATGCGAAGTTTGTGTTACCCTGTGAACATGAGCTATGTAAGATCACGTTTAACTATTAACATTTGATTACATTTGATGAATCCAACTGAGCTGCAATCAACCAAACTAATTGGTGTGTGCCTGCAAAAGATGCTCTGCAGACATGGTTTGCCTGAGACTCTGCAGATAGCAAGGTTTTAAAGTCATATCATGAATATGAGAAAAACCTCTCCTTTTGCTGGATGACTCATTTGCTAAACCTGATATGTTCCACTTTAGTGAAAACAACTTCAGAGGCACAAAGTTATTGCATGTTTTGTAAAACAGGAGAAACTGACCCATCTGAGAAACTAAGATATACCTGCTGGTTTAATAACATTACATGGGTTAACGGTATGCTTGCATTGATAATACCACAGGGCTCAGATGACAGAGCCAGTGGAAACATGAGTCTGAAGATAGCTTTTCTCTCTTGTCAGTGTTGCTCAATGCTAAGCCTACCTACTTTTGGAGAAAGTCTCATTTTTGGATCTGAAAGAAGTGAAAAAAACCCTCAGCTCTCTGTTTTCACAGATTTAAGAGATTTAAATTCAGGTAGTCTGTGAAACTTCATATAATCAAAAACTTCCCACAGCTCATCTAGAACTTAAAAGAGGTGTTTGCTCATTCTATTTGATGTTTTTCATTCTTCATGTGAGACAATTCCCTCCACTGATCTCCCCTAGTGGTCTTAATTTCAGAGCAGAAGTGGTGTATCATAGAAGCAGACTGTATGCTGAGACGGTAGCTGCAGAGAAACATAACATATGGGAAAACTTTGAAAGCAAGTTACAGGTGTTTAGGTTATTACAAAATGAACGATAAAACTTCCTTTATATACCTTTTGGACATTAGAAGAAATGCTGTAACAACCATCCCCAGAAGTGTGCTGTTCTTGCTGTTCGGTATCAGTAAGGCCTGAAAACTTTTTACCTTTTTTCCCCTTGTTCCTCTACCTCCACATCAAGAAGGCTATGGGACAAAACTGCAAAGAGTCTACCTACCATTAACAGGCTCTGAAAACATGGGAAGAAAGAGCTTGTAAATGTCACCCTATGGCTTGCTCCTATGTAAGGATAAGAGAAATTGATCAAAACTCTGTAAGATCTGGAAAAGCACATCATGAAACATGGGAAAGGTATGGAACGAGACAACTGCTCAGGTAGATCTCACTGGTTTGACCTACTTGCTAGATTAAAATAAGTCCAGATTAGACCTAAGCAGTTTTAAGTCTATGTTATGCTGCTCAGAGCACACTAGAGCGGTTGCCTCCTTACAGTTGCAGGTACAGGTCTGAAGGGGAGGTGTCCTGCTTATGGTCAGACAGACCTGCTGAGTCTTTGCTTAAGGGCATTGCCGCCTTCAAAGTGCAGACCAGAAGTAGCTTTGTTTTAATTCACATCATGGTAAAATCACCAAGATGATATATAAAGGAAACAATTATTTATTTAATGACTATTTCTTTCTGTGTTTTCAATGCAGCTATTCTCTCCAGCCCCTGAAAGCAGTGTATGGAAATACAGGTCAAAACAGTGGCACTGCTGCACGAAGCAAGATCCTTGTTTCCCTCCACAAAGAAAGTCTGTACACAACTATAGTTCAAGTGCTTCCCAGCAAATGACGAAACTCAGCAATGAACCTCTTCACTCTCTCATACCTATCTATTTCTGAGCTATCTTTGCCAGTAGCATCCTTTATGAGTTGATGAAAATTAAAGCAAGTTTATTAATGTTACACCTGCTCCTTTAATATACACCTTCAAAAAGATGTTTAAGCAAAATGCTGTTCATAGCATGTAACCAAGCTCTTTAACCCCCACCTCACAAGCATTCTTCATCAAACCAAGTCATGAACACAATACATAAATGAGCAATTGTATTTGTATTGTTTGCCTGAAGGTTTTGCACATATGTGGGTTTGCTAATATGCTTTGAGGAAAAATTCTCCTCCAAGTACAACCATGAATGTGTCCTTAAAATTGCTCTTCTGAAAATAGCTCAGCCTATTTGTAAGAATTCCTGCAACTTAGCACATGCTTCATCTTTAGCTCGTCCTTCACGTCAACCAGGGTATAAGTCTATCTGTCAAACTGTTGATACTCTGAATACATGGATAACTTCAGTTTCAATTTCAGTGTATGCTACAACTCAGTAATTGAGTCATAGATCTAAAATACATGTATCTGCAATGTAGTAGTGTGTGTGGTAAATTCATCTCATTTATAAAGTATCTTAATGAAGTTGTTTCCAAACGTATGCACTGACAAATGCACAGATGTACTGTACCTGAAATGCATCTCTGCATCAGCTGGATGTCTTCTTAGATATAATTCATAGAATCATAGAATAGTTAGGGTTGGAAAGGACCTTAAGATCATCCAGTTCCAACCCCCCTGCCATGGGCAGGGACACCTCACACTAAACCATGGCACCAAAGGCTTTGTCCAACCTGGTCTTGAACACTGCCAGGGATGGAGCATTCACAGCCTCCCTGGGCAATGACTCTTGGATGTAAAGAGTGATATTGTGACACGCATGGACGTGTGTATACTTACATATATTTTATATATTCTTTAATGTCCTCAATTTTCTTTTGTATTTTCTCTTAGAATTCCAATTTCATTTTTCACATTTGGCTACATTCTTTCTCCAGTACACTGCTGTGGGGCTGATCTGACTTTATAGTACAGATACATCACAGTGGCATCCAATTTTTGCCTTCTTTTCTTAATGTAGCATACACAAATAATCTCTCATGGCATCCTGGTGCCCATGTTTCATTTCTCTTGGGTTACCAAACATTTAGCTAAATATTAGGGTTTTTTCAAGAGAGAACACTCGGTACCTTAAATTCAGTAAAAGACCTTTATGACTGCCTCTTGTGACTTGTTTTAAATAAACCTGATATTTTATTGTCAGCCTGTAGGAAGATTAAACTTGGTTATTTTGCATTCAAGAGTGAACTCTCTCCTTAAAAACTGCTATGGGTGGGGGGAAGTAGGATGTGTTCTGGGTAGTCTTTACCATTACTGGGCCTTTGAGGAGATATAAATATCATCCACAGTCGGCTCCAAAGACAAGCTCATTTGTCTGGGCATTAGCTGGCACTTTCATTGCATACATTGAAGGTTTTCAGGAGGAATTTAATGTTTATTTTGACAATGGAGATGAGGGTACTGAAGAATAATATGTTTACTGTTCAGCACCATGAATATGTAGTGACCTACTTCTACTGTACCGTTTGGTTTTCTTTTCAAAGCTTGTCAAGCCAACTCCTATTGCAAATTTAAGAAGCATCACTTTTAGAAATACACTGGCTACTAAATTAGCATCTTAGAAGTAGAGCAGTGAGCAGTGTTTTAGAGATTGTCCTTCAACAGGGTTCCTACGTTTTACTGGGCCATAAGTGAAACAGTGTTTGCCTCGTGTTTAAGAACATGTTTTGCTTGACCTGCAAGATAAAATACAGCCAGTTACAGGTCTGGAATCATGGAATCCCAGACTGGTTTGTGTTGGAAAGGACCTTAAAGCTCCTCCAGCTCCAACCCCTGCCACGGGCAGGGACCCCTTCCACTGGAACAGCTTGCTCCAAGCCCCTGTGTCCAACCTGGCCTTGAGCACTGCCAGGGATGGGGCAGCCACAGCTTCTCTGGGCACCCTGTGCCAGCACCTCAGCACCCTCACAAGGAACAAGTCCTTCCTAATAACTAATCTAAATCTCCCCTGTTTCAGTTTGAACAGGTCTAAGTTAGATACAGTGTTGTCACTTTAAAAGTCTCTGTACTTTTTCTAATAAACTGAATTTTTAATGATCTTTTGATTATCACAAGGTATTTTAAAGACAAGTGATTTTATCCAAACCAATTCCTTGTGTTTCTGCATATGCTAATTTACTTGATTAATTTGGAGAACATCTACATATAATTCTCTACACTTACCCACGGTGAGATCACACTGCTGCTCAAGTAACAGCTACAAGTTTCACTTTCCAGACAGACTGAGTTCTGCCTAATTGGGATGGCAAATGTGCAAAGGTGCCACAGAAGAAGTGTGTAATTATGTCCTTTTCTCTTGATCTTTCAGAGTCTTCCTACGAGCAATTAATCAGTATGCAGATATGCTGAACAAGAAATTTCTTGATCAAACCAACTTTGAGTTACAGGTAAGGAAAAAAGCAAACACGGGTGTCTTGGGGACTAATGCTAATGTTGGACTAGGTTTCTACCCTCAATGTAATTGGAGGGGGGTGTACATCGTCGTGAACCCCAGGTTGACCTGTTAGCCCAGTAAAGTCATAGAATCATAGAGTCATAGAATAGTTACGGTAGAAAAGGACCTTAAGATCATCAAGTTCCAACCCCCTGCCATGGTCAGGGACACCTTGCTCTAAACCATATCACCCAAGGCCTCGTCCAACCTGGCCTTGAACACTGCCAGGGATGGAGCATTCACAGCCTCCCTGCACAACCCATTCCAGTGCCTCACCACCCTAACAGGAAAGAATTTCCTCCTTAGATCCAATCTAAACTTCCCCTGTTTCAGTTTTAACCCATTACCCCTTGTCCTGTCACTACAGTCCCTAATGAAGAGTCCCTCCCCAGCATCCCTATAGGCCCCCTTCAGATACTGGAAGGCTGCTCTGAGGTCTCCACGCAGCTTCTCTTCTCCAGGCTGAACAGCCCCAACTTTCTCAGCCTATCTCCATACAGGAGGTGCTCCAGTCCCTGATCATCCTCGTGGCCTCCTCTGGACTTGTTCCAACAGATCCATGTCCTTTTTATGTTGAGGACACGAGAACTGCACACAATACTTCAAGTGAGGTCTCACGAGAGCAGAGTAGAGGGGCAGGAACACCTCCTTCGACCTGCTGGTCACGCTCCTTTTGATGCAAGCCAATTAAGGCTTTACAGGTGCATACTATCCACTATGTCATGTCCTAGAAGAGCATCATAGAGTGATAGAGTAGAAGAGCATCAAGTCTTACCCAAAGCATCACAGAAAACTTCTCCTTTCCTTCAGGAACAGCAAAAAAGGGGTGTTCTCCCCTTTTCTTCACCACATGCTTTAGGATAAGTAATGCCTCAAACGTGGAGCCTGAGACACAACATATGAGTGAGAATTTAGGTCACTTGCTTAGGATCCTTCATTTGTGTCTCTCATTTTATGTATTCACATTTAATTTTCCTTGAATCATCCAAGCACAATCGATGAGGATTTGTAGATGGGAAATGTTTCATGGAAATGTAAACACGCCGAGGAGATGTACTAAGAATACATCAAGAAGCACCGTCTCGGTGGTGTCTGCTCTTTTCTCCTTGACATATTTATGTGCATAATTTAGGTAGTTTAAAGTTGTTTTGTAGGTGTGCACAACGTTTCAGAGAATTAATGGTATCTGTTCTTGTCATTTTGGGGGCTTTCAGCTTTGGAACAACTACTTCCACCTGGCTGTTGCTTTTCTCACCCAAGAGTCTTTACAACTGGAGAATTTCTCAAGTGCTAAAAGAGCAAAAATACTTAACAAGTAAGTCCTATTCGTCATCTAAATCATGGACAAGAACTTGAGCTCTATTAACATAACTTTAGTTTAATTTCTTAGCTAAACCCATTCAAATTGAGATGCAATCATGGCATAATGAAAGGTTGGATTTAAAACCATGAATCAAGTATTGCATGTGCATTTCTACCCTTGAATCAAGATCTAAATTACATGATTCATTACTGATGAAGACAGTATTTTATACCGCAGGATGCTCATAAAGTCAAGACTTTTCAGGAGTATTAACATATTATCAAAGTGAATTTTTAAATCACTTTAGCTGTGTGCTTATTCTAATCTCATTTTACGTGGGCTCTTTAGTGCTTAATCCCTAACGGCCTTTTAGAGGGAATTTTTGTAACTACAGACAGTTTCCCTGCGATATCCCTCAAGAATGGGTTTGTGTAGCTGCAGACTTGTATGCTTCCCTGGCTAAAAGGGATTACATTGCCTCCCTCCAACAGGGAGCTTGAACTACCCAATTCCTATTCAGAGCCCACAGCAAACGAAACCTGTCAAGAGAAAAAGGACTGGAAATAAGAGTGGAGCCTGACTATTTTAATGTATGTATTTTCCTAAATGTCATTGGGGTTTCAATGTAGTGGAGCTTATGATTAACTAACTGAACACTGAGCACTGAAAAAAGCCCATTATGTGTTTTCAGACACAGAGTTTCTGTGTCCTAATATTTGTAAGAGTGCATGCAAAAGCAGTTTCTTCCCATAGCCATAGAATTGTGGAATACCAGACTGTTTTGGGCTGGAAAGGACCTTAAAGCTCATCCAGTTCCTACTCCCTGCCACAGGCTGGGGCATCTTCCACTAGAGCAGCTTGCTCCAAGCCCCATCCAACCCAACTCTGAACAGAAGTCAATCAGGTTACTACAGTCAGTGCACAAAAATGGGAAGTTTTTAAAATGTGATTTACTGAACATATATATAAATATATGTATATGTATATATTTGTCAGACTCGTTATAGAATCATGGAAGAGCTTGAGTTGGAAGGGACATTCAAAGGTCATCCACTCCAACCTGCTGCAATGAGTAACGACATCTTCAATTAGATCAGGTTGCCCAGAATAATATATATATATAGAAAAAAGATGCATTTTGAGTAACATCACCTTCTAAGTTCAGGGCTTTTTGTATATTTTTATGAGAGAGATCACAGTATAACAATATGATTTTATCACTGCTGAAGTGACGTGTGATTTTTTAAGCTCTTTCTTTTAACTGTGTGGGTTGCAGGCTTTGTCCAGAAAAGATAGAGCTCTATGCCCCATCCTGGTTTTTTGGCAGCTAAGTTTTGCCCTTCCGACTTCTCCAAGCCATCGTGAGTTTTGAGGTGCTGCCTTTGGAAGTTGTGCTTTACCTGAGCGTTGAAACAGAATTTTTAAACACTATGGGATTTAATTCATGTACCAAGGACTCATGGGGCTTCCTTGATGAAAAGGGAATATTTACAAGTCCAGTGAAAAAGTAATGTCAAGCAGAGCTCAGGTTTCTGCACTTGTGTTATACATACCATAGAATCATAGAACCATAGGATGGATGGTTTGGGTTGGAAAGGACCTCAAAGCTCATCCGGTACCAACCCCTGCCACGGGCAGGGACACCTTCCACTGGAGCAGCTTGCTCCAAGCCCCTGTGTCCAACCTGGCCTTGAGCACTGCCAGGGATGGGGCAGCCACAGCTTCTCTGGGCACCCTGTGCCAGCGCCTCAGCACCCTCACAGGGAAGAGCTTCTGCCTAAGAGCTCAGCTCAGTCTCCCCTCGGGCAGGTTCAAGCCATTCCCCTTGGCCTGTTCCCACAGGCCCTTGTCCGAAGCCCCTCTCCAGGTTTCTTGAAGGCCACCCTTAGGTACCAGAATAATAAATAACATAGCTTTGAGTCTGCAAAAGGAAATCAAGGTCATTTTGTTTTTCATTAGATTTAGAATCTATGAAAGAAAATGGTTTTGTGCAAGATTAGGCCAACGATGCAAGTTCTCTGTGGTAGTTCAGAGAGTAAAGGATACTTGCAAGAGGCACATCACTCCAATCAGTTACCGAGCAAGAGGGATCAGCTGTGGCTCCTGTTGGTCTGATGTTGGTTTGCACCTACAGTAGCATTTTACTTCAGATCAGACTCCTGACCTGAACATAAAACCAACACCTGAGCTGGAAATTACTGTCACATACATCTGTGGACTGATATTGCCTCTTTGGGAGGACAGGAACCTTAGACTGATATTTTCTCCTAATGATCTTTCTATTAAGCCAAACGTTATATCTTGCTGAAGGGATGCAAGAAATCAACAGACATTTCTCACTGCTAATATAAGTAAATAGATGAAGTCATTTGAAGTGGTTACTTAATGAAGTTTGCTAAATTGTAAAACTCTGTTTACAAGTTGTTATTTTCAGATTAATCGTGTTCTGGCGACAGAAATCAAGACCATAAATTCTTCAAGATGCAATAAATGTATGGGCTGGAGTGCTAACTTTTATTGCTTTTATTTTATAGCCACTACCAGTTCTGTGCCAAAGGGCTGTAATGAATCAGTTAATTCAGTATCACACTCACCCATCTTTTTAAGGGTATATTTCAATTAATATATCGAATACTTAATAATTAAAATATAATTATTGTAATTTGTAGGTTTTGCTAAACATTGCATTTAAGCATTAGTTAATTTTTAATGACACAGAAGAATCTCCTAAATCCATCTTAATGACAGGGTATCTCACTATTAGCCCCCAGATATCCCACAAGTTGCCAGAGATTGCCGTTTTGATCATCTTGTTAGTTAAGTAATCATCTTTAACACACAAATATTCTGTGCAGCAAATACGTTCTTGGAGCTCATTATGGTTCTGATCCTGTCGTTAATGAAGGCAATAGGATGTTTTCCATTCATTAAGCTATCCTGGTATTAATGTAGAGAGGGAATGGGATATAAAAACAACATTGATGGGATCTCTGTGGCATTGGTGCCCCAGATTGGTTTGGGTTGGAAGGGACTTTCATCACTGTCATCGTCATAGAAAGGTTTGTGTTGGAAGGGACCTTAAAGCTCACCCAGCTCTAACCCCTGCCACGGGCAGGGACCCCTTCCACTAGAGCAGCTTGCTCCAAGCCCCTGTGTCCAACCTGGCCTTGAGCACTGCCAGGGATGGGGCAGCCACAGCTTCTCTGGGCACCCTGTGCCAGCGCCTCAGCACATTTTGATCTGGGACACAAAATCCCATTGGAACGTAGAAACCTCCTTTGTATTTTGGCCATGAAGGTACAAGACGTCACAAGATGTTCCTTGTTGTCTTTTCTGGGACAGTGCTATGCTAAGAGGGTGTATAAAAATAAAACATAGCTTTAGGCCATGCAGCTCTCTGTTACACTTCCTCCAGCCATTACCACTTTAAATAGAAGATGCTCACAATTAACGTCTGTAACCACCCATGTGTCCCAAAGGATGGTTAGGTAACCTGAAAAGATGGCAGCGAGGGGTTTTGCGTGGGTGAAGGTTTGTGTGTGTTCTCCCTCTGGTAAGTACTGTTGGAGAAATTGAAATCTGGGGTCTTATGAATGAGAAAATCATAAACCAAGGAGCAGAAGCTGATTCAATCTCATCCCTTTGTACCAGGGAATCTGTGGTGTCTACGGGCACATAGCTGAGCTGGTGAGGGAACGTGGATGGCCTTATTACTTTGAGGTGAATTTGCAGAACCTCTTCTGTAATTTCAGATGTCTTTGCTGATCAGATTTTGAAATTTTAATGTTTCTGCTTATTGGTAATAGATTTTATTTCTTCTTTTAATGGTGGTTTTGTTTTCTTCTGTAAGGTACGGTGATATGAGAAGGCAGATCGGGTTTGAAATCAGGGACATGTGGTACAATCTGGGTAAGTAACCTGAGCACCTATTGCTTAATGCTTTCATTCAGTGTTTGTATAAACCAAGGTGGAGTTGAAGTGAACTTGCTTTCCCTCAGAATAACAGTAGGCTTCCAGAAGGCATTTAAAAAGCAGGTGATTGTAGAAATAAAGGTACCTCTGCACACTTCTTTCACCATCTGGAAAGATACATAACTGTAGTCAGTATATCAGTATCTTCTGGGTATTCTTGGTATTCAGCCTCATGCTGAATAAAAAGAAATGGTTATGGTGATACCTGTTGATTTTTCCTGTTTAAAAATAGATATGCACACATATATGTATGCACATAGATATGAACACACACATCCCTGTGGATGGGTGCTGGAACTGGGACGGTAGCAAAATGAACGTACCCAAGGGTTATCAGTAACTTAGCCTGGAAATTCTGCCAAGGGTTATTGGTAATTTAGCCTAGGAATTCTGCTTAGATTCTGATGTTTGGCTGCATCATTGACACAGGTTGGTCAGTCAGAAATGGGAACTCAGGCATCCTGGAGTTCGTAGGTGAATCGGGACTATTGGACTCTGTTGTGTCTCTGCTGTTCTGTGGGTATAAATGAGCTCTATGGGGATTGAATTTCATGAGAAACGGGGTATTTGCGATGACCTGAGTGTACTCATCTGCCAGATTGCATTTTCCTGGGCTTAACAGCAGAGACACTTCAGCTCTTCCGAGTTTTATCAAAAGTTCGGAAATAAATGCCTTTGACACTTCACTTCTATCTCCTCCTGAACGGTTGTGGCTGAAACTGGAAAGAAATTCAGCATGTGTAAGAGAAAGGAATTCAGAGGTTCAGAAGAGTTTCTTATCGTGGAGTTTGCATCTGCTCTGCTGGAATGATGAGAAAAGGCTTCTGAGAGCAGCCGAGTTCACTTTTTATTAGAGGCATCTTTGGTGAATTAAGTGTCTGGAGAGCAGATTAAAGCATAGTACAGCTGATATGTGACTTGACAGACAGGTAATAAGATCAGGATCATGCCTGATGCTGTGTCATCCATCTCAGGACGCAGCCTCTCTGTTAGTAATTAGCTTAATCCTTCCCTGTTCCATGATGCTTACATTCTTCTGTTACCTTTATAATTCCTTGAGCATCTTTGGATCCTTATCCCAGAATTTACTGGCCTGAAAGTAGAGAAGTTTGCATACATAGTTATCCATCTAGCTGCTCTTACCTGAGGCTATTTTATTCAGGCTAGGGGCTGTGGAGTGCATTGTGCTTCTTACTACTGCTGACCCTTGGACAGGGTGTTCAGTTGGTTCGGGTTTTCACCATCAAGAGGAAGCTGATAATAATTTCCTCTGGAGTTTGGGAATCGATTGGCACAAGGAGGGGTGTTTTCTTCAGTATTTCTTTCTGTGCTGTCATGAAAGCCTTTGATTTTGAATGGAGGTTTTCTAAACTGAGATTACCCAGGTGGGTGACCCCGTGACCTCCTCTAGCACCAATATCTGTGATTCTGTAAGTGGTCGGGATCATTAATGCTGAAATCTCACGTTGGAAGGCAGAAAATTGCTACTCTGCCCAACAAAAGCTGCAGGAGAAAGGTAAACCAGAGGCAGGACCCCAGTCCAATGCAGCCTTTGTACTTCTTATAATGAGCAGCTTGCTCTTTCTCATCTTCTTTTACTACACATAGTCCATGCTGCTTTGTGTTTAGCTTCTGGCTCCTCACCAGCCTCATGTGTGTCACAGCATCAATTAAGAAGGAATTCTGACTTGCCACTGCAGGGGAATGGACTGGGGAGTGCTTGACACTTTTATCTTAGAAGTTGCTCTGCATTAATCAAATTATGAATGCCTATCTTCAGAAGCAAAATCAGAAGTGAAAAGCTCTAATTCTTGACCACGCTTGAGCATCTCGTCTTTACGCCTGTGCCATTGCGCGTAAGAGACGATGAAGCCAAGCAACCCCGACTTTTGATTTATGTATTAAAGTCTATGGATAAGCCTCAGAAATTAATATTTAGTCTCATCAGTTTTTTGTTCATAAATACCATGATTAATGTATAATGCCTGCTGAGTTAAAACTCCCCAGTCGGGAACACAACAGTCCTCCAGCTAAAGTGCACAGTTAAGAATGTAATTTATTTCCTGGAATTAAAGAGTAGAATTCATATTCTACAACTGTTTTCTTGTCTCTCTGCTCCTGATGCCGTAGTGGCTGCAATATTGATATCTTCCTGCCTTTATAAAGAGGAAAACAAGAGCATGTACAGTGGGGAGCGACACTAGCTAACGGTGTGTACACACTTCAGGTGCCTGTGATTTAGGGATGATTCTGGTTTTAAACAGTGAACCACATACTGCAGATCCAACCTGATGGGATTTCTGTTTAAATCCCACTTGGAGCTGTCCCTGCTCAGTTGGGTTGTGAAGCCTTTAGATTTGAGTGCTGTGATGCAGCAGCAGCAGGGATGGCTCCGGGGAGCATTGCCCCAGCGTGCAAAGCCCCTGCTCTGGTGCCTTTCTGAAAGCACTACAAGGCTTTTCTTCTCTTAGATACACCAAACCCAGTGTCTGTCAGTCTTCATAGGCTTTTTTCCTTCCATATCACAACCTGAACTTTACAACAATATGTTCTTTTGAGTCACTGCTTTGTTAAAGCTGGGGCTCCATAGACCTTGGTGAGACACTGAGTACCAGAGAAGCATAAAGCAAGCCATGGCCTCTGTCTTGAAAATATAGGAACTCAAACAACACGCTCTTAAAGTGCTCTGTGATGCAACTTAGCATACACAAAACACAGTTTGACACTAGGCCGTGTGTACCAGGTTTCAGTGGTTAATGGCTTCAGCAGTTATATGTTAAAGAAATTGCAATGACATTTAAAATAACATCCTCGTGCTAAAGTTGGCCAGGGAAAGCCAGCTCAGAAAACATTGCCTTTATTGTCGACATCTGAACCTGCCAAAAGGAGGTGGAAAGGGAAAATTCATAGAACCATGGAATGGTTTGGGTTAAAGGGACCTTAAAGCCCATCCAGCTCCAACCCCTGCCACGGGCAGGGACCCCTTCTACTGGAGCAGCTTGCTCCAAGCCCCTGTGTCCAACCTGGCCTTGAGCACTGCCAGGGATGGGGCAGCCACAGCTTCTCTGGGCGCCCTGTGCCAGCGCCTCAGCATCAATTCCTAAGGATGAAGTGAAGCAGTTTCTGGTGCTGGCCTCCAGTGCTTGATGTCAGGAAAGGTGTCCTGACAGAGACAATAATGTGGGAGGGAAAGGCAGCGTGCAAAATAGACCTGAACTGTGAGAGCTGTGTAAATAGAAGTCATCACGGATAACGCTCCCTGAATTAATCACGCATGTTCAGAGCTGACCCAAGCGAGAGGTGAGGTTTGCTGGCACATTTTTCAGGGGGGTTTGGAGCCCCTATTTAAATTAGTAGGACCTGGGAAATGAAAATCACACATTACCCACTAAAGCAAGCACCTTGGTTTGGTCTGCATAATGAGGTCTGCTCCTGTTGTGCTCCCACAGACTGCTCCCACGTCTCACGGCAGGGCAGAAGCAGTAACAAGGGGAAGGCTTTGCGTGTTCAAAAGGCTCCTTGTTTTGCCTGTGGTTCTGAAAGCAGCTGCATAGTTTGGTTTTCTGCAGAGAATCCTCCCTTTTCCTCCCCGTTTTCTTGTCAGATTTCGGATCTCTGCGTGGGAGCTCCCACAGTCCCAGGGAAAACAAAACCAAGGGGATTTCATTGTTGGGTTGTTTATCAGGGAGTGCTGCCTGTGACAGGCAGCCTCATGGATGCTCTGGGGTGCCAGAGGAAGGCCTTTACCATCCGTGGTTTGCTCTCCTGCTTGCTTTCGTGTTGCAACATCACCCTGGATCATGTCATCAAATCAAACCTCTGTGTGTGCATCATTACATAGTAACACGACAGGGACGATGCGATGTTGCACACAGACACAGGGCTCTCTCCTTTATCATCCAGTCACTGGACAGAGCCTTTCTCCAGGTTACTCCTCATGTATGTCTGATGTAGAAGACCAATGGAGAAGGCTTAACTTGTCGGTCTGTGCTGCCCTGTCTTCCCATGGTCACTGCCTTCCCCGGCCCCATGCCCGCAGCAGGAGCAGCTCTGGGCAGTGCTGCAGGGTGAGTGCTTTGCATCCCAAGCAGCCAGGCCATTCCCGTGTTTTTCCCTGCGGCTAAGCTGTGTGAATCCAGTGGGAGCCACGCACAGACCCTCCAGACAGCACGAAGGGCTCAGTGGGTTTCAAACAGCCGACAAGGGATTATTTCACAGTACAATGTACCTGTGATTTTAATACTTCCTGCTCATAACTCACATGTTTCTGTTCCCCCCCCCCAGCCATTCTGAATTTCATATGCAGAGGAGCTCTCTGTCCTCTTTGATTTAAAAGCTCTGTTGTTGATTACTTGCAAGGCAGCTCCACTAATAAATACAAGCAGCTGCTGAACAAGAGGACTGGGTGCATGCTGTCTTGGTTCATGGGCACGGGGGTGGCTCCTGCCCACCAGATCCTGCAAGATCAGGAGTAAACTCATTGTTGGAGGTGCTGGTGGACACCTCAGAACTGAGCTCGGTGGCTCTCTGTGCCTTTGTCATTGCATCCGCTCCTAGAATCATGAAATCCCAGCCTGGTTTGTGTTGGAAGGGACCTTAAAGCTCCTCCAGCTCCAACCCCTGCCACAGGCAGGGACCCCTTCCACTGGAGCAGCTTGCTCCAAGCCCCTGTGTCCAACCTGGCCTTGAGCACTGCCAGGGATGGGGCAGCCACAGCTTCTCTGGGCACCCTGTGCCAGCGCCTCAGCACCCTCACAGGGAAGAGCTTCTGCCTAAGAGCTCAGCTCAGTCTCCCCTCTGGCAGGTTCAAGCCATTCCCCTTGGCCTGTCCCTACAGGCCCTTGTCCCAAGCCCCTCTCCAGCTTTCCTGCAGCCCCTTCAGGCACTGGAGCTGCTCTAAGGTCTCTCCAGAGCACAGCAGAGGGGCAGGATCCCCTCCCTGAGCTGCTGCTCACGCTCTGGGGGTGCAGCCCAGCACACGGGGGGGTTCTGGGCTCAAGCACACACTGAAGCCGGGTCATGGGGAGCATCTCATCAACCAACACCCCCAGGTCTGTCTCCTCAGGGCTGCTCAATCCAGTCTCTGCGTGGAGACCTCATAGCAGACTTCCAGTATCTAAAGGGGGCCTATAGGGATGCTGGGGATGGACTCTTCATTAGGGACTGTAGTGATAGGACAAGGGGTAATGGGTTAAAACTGAAACAGGGTAAGTTTAGATTGGATATAAGGAGGAAATTCTTTCCTGTGAGGGTGGTGAGGCACTGGAATGGGTTGCCCAGGGAGGCTGTGAATGCTCCATCCCTGGCAGTGTTCAAGGCCAGGTTGAACGAGGCCTTGGATGCCATGGTTTAGTGTGAGGTGTCCCTGCCCATGGCAGGGGGGTTGGAACTGGATGATCTTAAGGTCCTTTCCAGCCCAAACTATTCTATGATTCTATGATCCTGTGTTTGTGCTGGGGATTGCCCTGACCAGGGTCAGAACCTATCACTGCTTGTGAGTGGAGGTCTCCTGTGCCTCCCTTTTTGCACAAGAAGTTTTTATGCCCCAGAGAAAAGGAAATGGGATCAAAGCTTTAAAAAGAATCTTTTGGGACCTTGCTCTTTTTCTCATCTCAAGTTTAAAAGATGTAATTTACTTTTCCGAGGGAATCCCTGTGCTTGAAGCAATGGAAAAACCCACCATGGTACATGGAGAGCTTTGTGACATTAAATCTGTGCCTGGTGAACAAGTTTTGTCATCATTATTTGTTCTCTGCAATACTGGCTCTGACACTTTTCAGGCAATAAGACAAGAAAACTGCCACCGGAGAGGCCGAATGTAATGACACTTGTAAGAGACAGGGAAAAGCTTTATACCTCTCGCTTGATATTCCCCCCCAACAGCCAGCATCGCAGCATCATGCAAAGCAGCAGTCTTAGTTGAGTATTAATTTGCCCTAATAGGATTGCTAATGCTAATAGGATTCTGAAGTTTGCCAAATCAAGTAACTCAAATTATTTCCTCTATAAAAAGTAGCGTGTTTTGTTAGGAAAGGATTTCTTCTTGATTACATTTGTTGAGATTTATGTTAGTTGTGGTCAGAAGTGAGACTACTAATTAGACTTGCACGGTTGCCGCCGCACTGGTGTAGTGCAGTGGAATATAAATGAGTTAAAGTCTGTTGCTGGCCTATACCACTGGTAAGTGCAATAGGAAACAAGAGTCTTATAATGGGGGAGGCTGAGGGCTCCTTAAATGAGCTCTTAAGAAGTCTGTTCTGAACCACAGCAGTGGACGCATGGATCGATTGAACATATCCATTAATTCTATTTGTGAGAAACATCACCAGTTATGTGGTGAGGTCCAAATGGATCCCAGCCTCTGACTGAGAGGGGGATGCAGTTGTTAATTTCTAACCTTCTGCCATCAAGTCTTTTGCCCATATAGACAAGGCCCTCAGTGATGTGGTTTAGTGGTGGCCTTGGCAGTGCTGGGGAACGGTTGGACTTGATGATCTTGAAGGTCTTTTCCGACCTAGTTGATTCCATGACTTTCCAGTGCTTTGCTACACTGCTCTACACCAGCATCTTTGCATGGAGTTATATAACAGATAACTTGCAGAACGTATAACCTGCATTCTCTCCCTTTAGCTAATAATATGAACAGTAACTGGATGATTTTAACCAGTATTTCTTAGGTGCCATGTTCCTGCTAAGGTTTGATTTCTGTTCCATGCATGGAGAACGTAGCAGGGAGGGTCAGGCAAGCTGCAGGTTTATCTTGGGAAGATAAATGTGATATCAGGTTTACTGTCAAGGGAAGAAGATGTATTGTTGGCTTGGTAAGATGTAGCTTCGTGTCCCGAGGCTGTGTAAGTATGCACTCATGGTGACGCTTTGATGGACTGACACAGAGAACATTTTGTAAGCTGGGGAAGATACAGCAGCCTAAATAAGTTAATACAAGTGATGCCTTTTAGCCTTCTCCTCTGCCAACCTTAAGTTGTATTTAATAAAACCCCTTGAAGCTTAATATATGTGTGCAAATATGGGTTCTTTGTGGAAAATCTGGCAGTTCCAGCTTGGCTATGGATCCAGCAACTGATGTTAGTTCGGGTTTATGCATACCTCATCCTTCCCCTCTTATGGCAGAAATAATAATACGTGTTACAGGAGTTAGAGCTTGAAAAATACTTTCTAATGCTATGAACCCTTGCTGATACAGCTTTTATACCTGTTACCTTCTATCAAAGTGGCTGTTCGTTAACTTGAAAATGCATCTTTTCCCTTAAAGGTCAGCATAAAATCAAGTTCATCCCAGAAATGGTGGGACCTATCTTAGAAATGACGCTGATCCCTGAAACCGAACTCCGGAAAGCTACAATCCCAATCTTCTTTGACATGATGCAGTGTGAATTCCATTCTACGAGAAGCTTCCAGATGGTAAGCAGTAACCTACAGATACCTAAAGTTTGTAAGAGAGATTCACTTGTTCTTTGACAAAACATAAGAATTTGTTATTTGATATAATTATGGATTTGCATATTTTGTGTAACTCTTGAGTTTTTCGAAGCTTTTCATTTATTGGTCTTAAATTCTTCTGGAAGGAAGTGTTTGCATGAAGAAGATGAAACCTTTTGGTATGATAGGAGAGCAAAACCAGATGTCTAAAATTGTCCCTGTGACTCAGAAAAGGAGTCTGCTTCAGAGTTAAATTGGATGTAAAGGAAACCTGATAACATGGCCAAAGAAATTCTAACCTGTAGGAGTGTCTCAGCTCTGGTATCTTGTCATTTTGATACTCTTTATGCTGCACAGGCACTGTGAAGGCTAACATACATAGCATTTTTATCCTATTACATTTTACCACGCGGAGGGAAGGCCTTCAATAAGCACACACAATCTTACCCTGCTAGCATCAACTTCTGAGAGGCAAGTGGGGTAAAAGAATCTTCCCTGACATCATTCACTTTACCCTCTTTCCTTAGGAACTTTGCCTTACGGATTGAGTATAAGAGTGGTTAGGCCCGGTAGTGTTATGCTATAAGCCATGTAGGTCCTTTACAATGTGGAATGTCTGTCAGTTCATTATACCACCTTGTGAATATTGCAGTCAGGTTTGACGTGTGTTGTTAATTTTATTCCCTTTCTATTGGCAGTTTTCTTTCTTGGATGAAAAATCTTTTCCATACGTTTTTTTGTGAACCATTATTCATAACCAGCTCTTAATAAATCTGTAGCCAGGGTAAATGAATATCTGCATGGAGAGACTTAAGCAAGGGAAATGGCATCAGCTTTATTACTTTGATTTGTTTTGTGCTGGATGGTGTCTGGAAAAGTTGTGAACTGTGTTTTGGATCCATCCAGTTACTGCATCCTCATTCCTTCTTATGCTTGGCTCTGATGCTAGTGTAAAGATTGAAATGCTCACTGGGAAGCCATTTAAACCGTTTCCTGTCAGCTGTTCTCTTTTGTTGCTTGTCATTTTTTAGTTGTACAATTATATGGATCGTGAAAAATCCGAGGGTAACTTTATAGCTGAATTTATGACCCTGTATTTTCTTGACAGAAGGAAAGCAGCTTCGTGGGGAAGAGCTGAGTGATTTTAATAAATGAATGTCTTAAATATTTCACACAAGTCCTTTTTGTCTTTTGAGAAGAAAAATGGCTCACGTTAAAGTCAGAGATGTCTTGGATTGTAGGTACTCCGCGTATATTTCTTATGTCAGTATAGCTTCTTTCTTTATGGACATAGCATTGATGCGACAGATGCAGAGGTAATAAACTGGTTTTCAGTGCATTTGGAGTGAATAGTTAGGTCTGACAGGGAATAATCAATCTGTCCATTTACAGTTTTGCAGATAATGTAGTTGTGTAGTTTGCTGAGTAGCTCAGATTGCGTTAGGAGCAATGACGATCACAGCTTGTAAAAAGCAGGGAATTATAGAGAAGTCGAGGTTGGATGGGACCTCTGGTAGTCATCTGGTCCAAACTGGGCCTTAAATTGGGGTATCGGGGCCATCTGAAGCTCTGTATTGAGTATTTCCAGTGACCTGTTCCAATGTTTAAGTCTTTTCTTCTTAGATCCAGATGGAATTTCCCTGAATCAACTTGAGCCTGTTGCTGCTTGTGTTGTCACTGTGCATCTTTGAAAACTGAGTAACTCCATCTCCTCTGTAACCACCTCTTAGGTGTTGGAAGGCTTGAGTCCGCTTTTCTGTAGGCTGAACAAACCCAGTTCTTTTACCCATTCTTTGGGCCGGGTTCTCCAACACTCTGCTCATGTCGTTGGCTCTCCATTAGGACATCTCCAATTTCTCAGTGCCTATCTTGAGCTGGGGAAACCAAAGCTGGAGGGAGCATTCAACCATTGATCAGCAAGTGGAATAATCATGTTGATCCTCTAGCTGTACTCTTCTTGGTGCAAAAAGTGCAAGTAAAGGGGCACACTGTTTCTTCATGCTCAGCTTGCTGTCTACCAGGTTCATCCATCAGAGCATCTTATACTGCTGCTTGCAGCTATGCCATCCCAGATTCAGGACTTGATATTTCTCTTCCTTAAACTCTACAGTTTCTTGTTGGCTGTCTTTTAGACTGTCAGTTATTAAACCATCATCCTTTGAGATCACTTTTTACACCTATCTCTTACTCTGTCTATCCCGTCCATATATTACCAACTCATCAGGTATGTTTGGGAGACTCTCAAACCCATTGCTAATATCAAGACAACCACAGCTCTTCACCCACTCAGCAGGTAGCTTCATCACAGGAGACAATCAGGTTGGTCAGATGTGGTTTACCCTTAGTAAATCCATATTGGCTTTTCCCAGTCACCTCCTCTCCCTTTGTGCACTGGAAAATAGCTTTCATGAGGGCTTGCTCTGTGGTTTCCTTGGGAACAGAAGTGGGTCTGCCTGGCCTGTAGTTTCTGGCTCTTTTTGTCTCTTTTATGTTTAAGTGATAGAAATAGATGTACAATAATTTGTGTTAGTATTAGCAGTAGCTAGGGAAGCTTTCATACTTAATGTGTCGGTGTAATGCACTGCATTATGTTGTCTACATGGAACTACCAATTATCATTGTCCAGCCTGGCTTTCAAAGAGAACTTCCAAATTGAATGGTTGGCTGCTGTTAAACTAAATCTGCCAGGAATCCAATTATCTAACCTTATTAGTCACATCAACAAGGGTTTAGATTGGCTCCACTTCTCCAGCAGATGTATAAAGCTCAGGCTTTGTGGGGGAGGAAGTTGAATTTTCTGCACAACTTCAGTGCTGTGATGGTTTGGGTAATGAGCACACAGCTTTCCCTACAGTGGTTTGAGTTGCAGGATGGGTTGGTTTGCCTGGTGAAACCGGTAACGCACAGAATGGGCTTTTTCGTTCTTCCTGTGCAAAACCAGAAGATAATTCCCCTCGTTTTTACAGCACTAAATTAAAGGCCGACTGAATTCAAAGCTGGAGTTGCCCATTTTTGTTCTTTCCCTCTTAAGGTGCTTTGAAGCCCATATAAGGCTTCAAAGTAGCCTGTACCTCAAAGCATGAACCCGATTCTAAAGTCAGTGTGGGACCAAAGCTTCCCCATAGAAAAAGATGCCTCCTGCTCCACTCTGCTTTATTCCGTTTGCCTGTTTCGCTAGTGAGCCCTCCAGATCAAAGGGAATATGGCAGAGCCCCAGGAGCGATGAAAGAGAATTGGTTTGGTTGTTCAAGGCCTGGTCAGGTGAATGTGATGGATCCTGTGGTGACAGCAGGAGAGGAAGTTCATCATGAAACAGTCATCCAACTGAACTGTGGAACTCAGAGCATAAAAAGCTTCGACCTCCTGATTTTGCTGCCTCTTGCTCCCTACTGTCACTTGTTCTGGCTCCATTTCCTATGAGCACTCCTGTTGTTTGCCTACCCAAAACTCTTAGCTTCCCTTTTCTGGACCCGTGTCATTGCTGATGGGATGTTCTGCTTCTTCTGAGTTGAACCTCTTCGTAGAGAGGTGCCAGTGCAGGAACTGGTACAAAACCGAACGCGGAGGAGGCAGTGGGAGGTGTTGGGTAGGTTCTTCCTATCTCATGGCACTGCATCACAGTATGATTTCTTTTAACTAAACTGGTACATACTGTTAGAAGTAGTTTACTTTAAGAGCCAAAACCCCCTATTAACAAAATAAGGTAAGGGATTGAGTCAGAAACACTACCCCAGCCTCTTCCTTGATATAATTACATTTCCCATCAAGTGGGAAGGAAGGATCCTTACCCTTCAAAGTAAAATTAGGAAGGTGTTCCCCCTGACTCTGCAGTAATGAGCAAGAAGAAATTAGAAGTCCCATATGTCTGGTTCTCAGGCTGAACTGCATTACCAAGGAGAATCATCAGTGTCTGATGCTGATAGCATCAGTGTATAAGCGTGCAAGATCCAGCATGTGTTCTCACCCTGGTAGAGTGAGGAGCTCTGTAAAAGTAATGATCTGAGGAAAGAGCCCCCAAAATGCAACACATCTGTCCTGCTTTCTGCAAATGGGAATGGCACTTTACATAAAGGAGCCATAGCCAAAAAGATAGAAAAATTATATAGGAATGCATAAGCAATGAGTGCATAATGCAGAATCATATAGAAATGCATAATAAATGAATGCATAATGCATATGATACTAAAATAAGAACTATGGGTGCAACTAAAGTACCTCTAGCTAGTGTTCCATTGTGAAAAGAATTAAATGAGTAAAGACAGAAGAAATTAAGAATATATCTTGTAAATTAATTTCTAACATTTAACAATAAATCTGGAGAGGGGCTTGGGACAAGGGCCTGTAGGGACAGGCCAAGGGGAATGGCTTGAACCTGCCCGAGGGGAGACTGAGCTGAGCTCTTAGGCAGAAGCTCTTCCCTGAGAGGGTGCTGAGGTGCTGGCACAGGGTGCCCGGAGAAGCTGTGGCTGCCCCATCCCTGGCAGTGCTCAAGGCCAGGTTGGACACAGGGGCTTGGAGCAAGCTGCTCCAGTGGAAGGGGTCCCTGCCCGTGGCAGGGGTTGGAGCTGGAGTCATAGAATCACAGACGGGTTTGGGTTGGAAGGGACCTTTAGAGCTCATCCAGTCCAACCCCCTGCAATGAGCAGGGACATCTTCAACTAGAGCAGGTTGCCCAGAACCACATCCAGCCTGGCTGTGAATGGTTCCAGGGATGGCACATCCACCACCTCTCTGGGCAACCCCTACCAGTGTTTTACCACCCTCACGGTAAAAAAATCCCAGCCTTTTGGAAACTATCAGGCTTCCCCCCTTGCGCCACCTGAAGAGCAATAGGGACAGGCAATGCAGTAAGAGACCTCCAAAAGCACCTACTAATAATGACCGGCAGAGCTGTTTGCCTACTGGAATGCTGTGGAAAACAGGAAAGGGAACAGACGAACCTCTTGGGAATGGCCACTAATTTTCACAGCAGCTTTTCAAGA